CGCACGGCCTGGGGTTCGGCCCGAGGGCCGCCGCGGTGGAGGGCTCCCCGGCCTTCAGGGCCTCTGGAAGTTGGGCTAGGCCGCAGGGTGACTTCTAGCCTTTCGCCTCTCAGCCTGTGACCCTAGTGTCCCCCACCCGAACCCCAGCCCTCTTGATGTCTCTGGGAGTTAAAGGGGAGCTAGGAGGTACGCGTGTGCGCGAGGGATGTCTGTAGGCGTCGCGTGGAAAGAGCAGGAATTTGGGTCCCTTCTCTGTTGCTAATGTGAGCACCTCCACCAGCCCTGCTTTCTTTGAATTGAGCTTGCTACCTCTGTACCTCATCAGGAGCAAGGCATGATGTTCACCTCGCACCCCCAGAGCATCAAAGGGATGCTCTGTACCTCCAGGGCTGGGGCACCTGAAGGTATCAGGTGGGCATCGAGGGGATTTTAAGACAGGGCGGAGGGCAGAGCCAAGGCACCATCCTGTGGCATCGTGACTTGGCTCTAGTGTCCTAGGTCTTTCTCCACGATAGGGGCACTCAGTCCCCTCAGCCCGTTTTGTCTGGTTTTGTCACCCAGATGGGAATACAGTATTACAGCATTTGGGAAGATTGCAGGGGATAAGTGTATGTGGAAACACTCGACAGTTGCTATTTTCGTGACTTAGATTATTGTAATCTTTACCACCATTAAATATAGTATGGGTTTTCTTTGCCTGTCCTTTTCCAAGGGTGAGATTGGTAGACTTTCCTCCCCCAAATTAGCCAGTGTTTTTAAGACAAATCTGAGTTTACAGACTAATGACCTAAGGAACGGAGTGGAAGGAGGGTTAAAGGGTATTTGGTGGAAAGCTAGTTGCGGAGCACATTTGTAAGTGAGGCTGGCGTGAGAGGACTTAGGCTGGGCTGGGGTTGCCATTCACCATTGTTCCCTTCTGGTCTTTGGCAGGACAGAGCGAGATGCCACTAACTGGTCCAAGGGGAAGCTGCGAGAGCTCTTGGTGGGCATCGTTGTGGAGAGTGAGGCTGGCCGCTGTGAGACCAGTGCGCTGAAGCAGGTGGACGGTGAGGCTTCATGCAGCAATCGCAAAGGAAAGCTGATTTTCTTCTACGAGTGGAACATCAAACTGGGCTGGAAAGGTGAGGGTCTCAGGGTCCGGATGAGGCTGAGTCATTTCATTCTGCTCATTCAGTGACTGTTTTTAGAACTCTTGCCATGGGCGTGGCACTGACTGGCCTCAGAGTTGGTAATAGTAGTTCCTAACACTCACATGCACTTGGCATTGTTTGGTTCTGGGAGCCGCCCTTTCTCCTCTGAGGCTGCTTAGAGCTTAGTGCTCTCAGCTGGGTCCTTTTTTTTTTAGGCAAGGTCTTGCTGTGTAGTTATATAGTTCAGCTGACCCTGAATTCACTATGTAACCTAGGGTGGGCTTAAACTCCTGGCGATCTTTCTGCCTCAGCCTCCTGAGTGATGACATTACGAGAGTGCACCACAGAGCCCAGCTTCCTCCTCAGGTTTTTATCCTGATGAAACCATCTCCTCTCTCCTGTAGCTAATCACAGACCTTTTGTGGTGCTCTCCCTTCCTCCTTCCTTTTTACCCAGACCACTAGTACTTGATACTGTATATGGTTTTCTAAAGATTTTTTACAGTCTTTGTTCTCCTTTCTTTCCCCCTCATTCATCAGGGTAGGGATTTTTTTTTTTGTGGGGGTATGGGGTCTCAAATTCCTGACCTTGTGCTTGCTTGTGAGGCAGGTTGTGGAACCACTGAGCTAAATCCCAGGCAGGATATTTTTTTAAAATAACAGCATTTTTGAGCTATAAATCATGTATGTTATTCACCTATTTAAAATGTATAATTCAGGTGTCTCATTATATTCACAGAGTTTTACAACCATCACCACAGTCAATTTTAGAACATTTCAAAGTAGCCCTGAAAGAAACCCTGTACCATTAGCAGTTACTCCCCATTTCCCCATTTCTCACTCCCCAAACCCTTTGTCCATGTGGACTTGCCTCTGGGCGTGGTGTGTTGACGGAGTCCTGCAGTACAGTGTGTGTGGTATCTGGTGACTGACTTCTTTCACTTCCTGTTTTTCAAGGTTTATTCATGTTTAGCTTGTATCAGTATTTTGTTTCTTTTTATGGCTGATTAATATTCTGTTGTGTGGACTGGCCAGATTTTATTTATCCACTCATCAGTTCATAGGCATTTCAGTTGTTTTTACTTTTTGAGTCTTTTGACTGCCTTCACCTGTGGTACCTAGCTCCTGGCTAGAAGACAGTAACATGCCTAGTGAATACTTGTTGAAGTAACCCCTGTGGTACTAGCTCCTGGCTAGGAAAGCAGTGATATGCCTAGTGAATACTTGTTGAAGTAACCAAGGATACAGAAACATGGGGGAAGGAAAGAGGAGAGAGATCAGGCTGTGGAAGAGTGTGCAGTGTTCAGGACTGAGCCTCACCTCTGGAGTCAGCTCCTTTCTGGAGAGTCTGTGAGAGAGCAACTGGCCTTGGTCTTTGCCCTTGGGACTGCCTTGCTGGGAGGAGCCAGGCTAGAGCCCAGGTAGGTGTTCAGCCAGCATTTGAAAAGCATTCCCACCCCTGCCTGGCAACAGGACTCTCCAACTGGGAATTTGCTCTCAGCTGCTACCTCATTGCTGCTGACTGGCTGCTTCATAGCAGAGGCTGACTCTCCGCTGTCTCTCCAGGACATGGCTCTCTGGCCCTCTGAAACCTCTCTGTGTCTCTTTTCTCCCTTGGTTCAAAGCAACAGTGAGCTCCTTTGCAGGGTAAGACCCATCCTGCCCTTCTGGAATAAAGCTGTAGTTCCCCAGATCCAGAAGGGAATGGCAGCCCGTGGCAGTAGCCTGAAGAGAATGGTCAGACATATAGAGAGACTGAGAGGCTGTTGCAGAGCTGTTCCAGCTGGTATTCCTGTTGTGAATTGCACGAGAACTTGAGGCCTGTCAGGACCATCCAGTTCTGGAGAATGAAGAGACCAGATGGTGCCATAAAGCTGTGGAAGCTGTGGGTGTCCAAGTCAAGGCCAATAAGGCCAGCAGGCTGGGCACTGACCCAGGGGACACCCTTCCCCTCCATCCTACTCTTCTGTGCCTTGTGCTTCGTACACGCATCTGTAGGTGTCTCAGGCTGTAGCTGCAGATGAGAACTGGCTGCTCCCATTTTCACAGTAGCATTTTGTCTTTTCCATCTGCTGCCTTCAGAGAACCCAGGCAGAGTAGTACTTTGAGGGTTCTCAGTCTAAGGTGGGGGAGGGCTCCTTTTATCCTGAAGAGCTGAAAATTACTAACTTTGGGGTTTTGCTTGTGCAAAACTGGCACCTAGAGAGGATGGGAGTCATGCCAAAGCATGACCGATAAGAAGCCTGGAAACCCATGTATATGCCAGGGGGCCTGGCCTGTACTTTTCTGTGGTCAGGACCGCACAGGTGTGGTGATTATAGTGAAAGCTAAAGGTAACCTGTAAACCTGTTTTTTTTTTAATAATAACCTTTATCCCATGCCCCCTCAGGCCCCCTCCCTTCTCTGTGTACAGAAGCTTTGTTTCCATTTTTTCCTTCTATTTTTACTTTTTTCTTGTTCTTTCCTTTCTCCCTCCCTTCTTCCTTTGAACTTCCCATTTCCCAGCATCCATTGTACATTTCGGCCCTTATTTCCACTCTTGGTTTCTCACACTAGAGAAACAATGTACTACTTAAACATGTGTGTCCACTGTAAACACATGTGTCCTTAAGAGTGTGGTCTTGAGGCCCATCCGTCTATTAATTAATTATTTGCGAGGCAGGTGGTGGCACCACTGAGCTAAATCCCTGGCCAGTGGTCTATTTAGCTATAAATATCTGAAGCTCATCCTTTATGGCAGAGTAGTACCAGTGTATTAAAAAAACCAAAACATATCTTCTTTATTCATTCATCAGTTGAGGTACATTTGGGCTGTTTCCAAGATTTAGCTGTTACAGGATGCTGCTATAAACGTGGGTGTGCATATATCACCGAGGTATGATAACTTCTGATTCTTTCGGGAACATAGCAAGAAGAGGAATAGCTAGGTCAATGGAACCTCTAGTTTTAGTTTCTTGACAAATCTCCGCACGGATTTCCACGGTGGTATAAATATGGGTTGTTTTGTTTTTTTTACAAAAAGGTTTCTTCTCTGACTCCAGAGGAACTATCTCCAGAAGATTGGCATCAGTCCTGAATTAAATTTGTGTTGCGTTTACCCCCTGTCCCCAACAAAGCTGTTGAAATAGTCTCACATGTGGTCATTGGAAAATAAGCTATTCCTGATGCCCATATGGGATAAACTCCTTGACCTCCAAGGGGTGCGGAATGCTTCCTGCTCTGTACCTTAGCCCTTTCCAACATGTGTTGTGGCAGTAAGGTGCCTCCAGACTCTGTCATGTTTTCTGCTGTCTGATTTCTGTTTGATGTTCTGATTTGTTGATCCTGTGACATCAGCTCCAGTAATCATTTTGAGCTTACTTGTCCTAAATCTTTTATTCCAGATTCATATAATAGTGAGGTGAAATTTAAAACAAAACAAAAAAGACCAGGCACAGACAGAAGGCTGGCTATAAGGGCCTACCTGACTCCTGTGCTGTTTTCTAGCAGCCAGGTTCTTGGAGTCCACCTGAAGTTCATTGAGCCAAAAACTCTCTCTGCTCATGTTTTCCAGGATCCGAGCTTTCTGTCCTCCCATCCCTGTCTCCCTGTCAGGATAGCCCCTCATCCTGCTTTGACACTTTGGGACAAGGAAAGCATGGATTGCTGACTGGCTTAGGACTGCTGGCCCCGACTTCCCTGTGTCACACTGACTAGTCCCGTCCCTGGCTTGGCCGCTCCCCTTGGAGAAGGCCACAACCCTGTAACAGAGGTGGGTCCCTGTGTGGGCTGTTAGGCAGGGCAGTTTTGCCTAAAACCAAGTTTTTAAAAATTAAAAAAAAATTTAAAAAATTGAACCATTTTGTTCATTTTTAGGTACAGTTAAAGAATGTGGTGCAAAACACAAGGGATTGATTGAAATACCCGACCTTTCTGAAGAAAATGAAGTAGACGACACTGAGGTATCTGAGTTTTCTTTTTCCTTTATTAACAGACTTCTGCTGTAGGTAGGCATTAAAAAGACTTTCTCAGACTGCATTATCTCCTGGGGTAGTTGCGGTGATTGGGGGGCTCATTTGCCCACTTTACTGTGGGGCAGCCTAGTATGGAAGGCCGAGTGGTGTAGGAAAAGGAAGAAGCCCCAAACTCCCCAGGAGCCAGATGTGGGGTCTGGGCAGGTGGCAGTGCCCCCATAGCCTCACCTGTGATGTGGGGTCAATTCAGGGGTGTCACAGGTTAAGTGTGAATGTATGTACTGTAAGTGTTTGTACTGTGCTTGGGCTGCTCGCATGGCTTGCTGAGTGTGATTTTGTTTCTCTTCCTCTGTACTTTGCCATTTCCCTTTAATAGTAACAGTTCTCAGCTTTAGCCGTGATCTTCCTTGGTTTTGTCACATGTTTGTTTTCATAAATTAAGAATGTACATTGCTTTTGAATGTCCCTCCTGGGAGTTGGAGCCAGTGTAGCCCCATACCTGGCTTGTAGTTAGTTAGTGAGTGGGCTCTTTTTGCCTAAAGCGTGGCTCTGAGCCAAGACCATTTGTATAGCAGTTGTATTTTCCAAGCCAAGATAGGCAAAGGGTCTTCTTTGGTTTGTGAATGTATTTAGCATGAAGGCATCCAGAGATAATAAGAATTAAGTCCTACTGGGCAGCATGTCTTGCGACTTGCCTTTTTTGAAGGTTATCAAAAGCCATAAAGGTGAGGCTGTCTCAGACATACCTTTCAGACCTGTGGTTGCTACACTCGGGCTGTAATTCACTTTACTATATTCAGATCATCAGCTGAACAGCTTTTCAACAGCAGTCAACCTGGTCTTCTAGAATTCATTCCTCAGCATTATAGAACAAACTAGATTCCAATGGGGCCTGGCTGGCATCAGGCCCAGCTCAGCCGAATTGTTGAGACCTGAAGTGGTTCCAAGCCAATGCCTCCTTTTTGCTCTCAGAGCACCACTGAGCACTGTGATGCTGTTCCTCATTGGTCTTCTTCCCTGTGCCTTGTGCACTCTGTTTTCCATTCTTGTCTCTCACTCAGCTGTCCTCCCTGTCAGAAGAGTGTAGCCGAAGGCTAGGTTTTATGGGAACTTGACTTTCCTAATTACTGTACTTTGGGGCTCTAGATCAGTGCTGCACTACGTGATACAAGCCACATAGGCAATAAAAAAT